AGAACATTTAGAAGATGAACGGGTCCTTGCTAGCAAAATGGAAATGGAGGTTAGGTGTCGAGTCAAAAGGATTAGGGAAGGAAGTAATAGAAGCCAAATACGGGTCTGGAGATCCTTAGACGAATCGAAAAACATTAATAATGATTCAAAATGGTGGCTAGATATAAAAAGAATATGTAAAGATAATGTTGGTAGAGCTTGGTTTGATAAACATGTAACATGGAAAATAGGAAATGGGGAGAAAATCAGGTTTTAGGACGATGTGTGGATTGGAGAACAGAGTTTAGGTCGCTTGTATCCAAGGTTAAAACAAATAGGACTGAACAAAAATGGGGTGCTATCAGAACATGGTGTGTGGATGGAAAATAGATGGGAATGGAGAGTAAGTTGGAGAAGACAACGTTTCGAATGGGAGAAGGAAATGAAGGAGGAAATGCTAAGTGAGATTCAGGGTGTAACACTTAATAGGTTACAGAAGATACGTGGCTGTGGGGATCGAATAAAAATGAAAGGTATACTGTAAAAGAAGCGTATGAGATTCTAAACGAAGAAACTTGCAATGAGAACAAATCGATCTTCAAATCGTATTGGAAAATTAAAGCGATACCAAAAGCCATGGTTTTAGGGTGGAGAATTCTTCAGGATAGGATCCCTACTAAGATAAATTTAGAGAGGAGAGGGGTTGATATAGGTAACCCAAAATGCGCTTTGTGTGGAAGTGAGGACGAAACATCCAATCATCTCTTTTTCACGTGCAAGATGACCAAGAAGATCTGGGAAAAGTGCTTTAGATAGGTGGGAATCAGCTTTGTTAGCCACTATGAGGCGAAAGCAAGTCTGGAAAGCTTTGCATTAGGTGGATTGAGAGCGAAGGGAAACATGTTGTGGAAAAGACTATGGGTAGCAGTGGTATATGAAATTTGGTCTCAAAGGAATAAATGTATTTTTTAAAATGATAAATTTGATGCGGAAGTAGGATTTAGTAATGCGAGTGCAAATTTCACTGTTTGTTGCGCTAGAGACTGGGATGGAACGAGTCTAGCAAACTCCGATTGGTTCTATGAACCAGTAAGATGTATGAGACTAATTGCCCTTTAGCTTCTCTTTTGTCTATACTGGCTGGTATATGTCTTTTCAGGTTAAAGTGTGTAATCATGCCATAATGATGAATACTCATATAAGAAGACGGTGAACGGGAGTATCCGAGAGCTATAAGGCTTTTTTCTTATCCTTATTGTAAGCTTTGTTAGTGTTAACATTTTACTCAAAGCTAGTTCTTTTAGATACCGCTGGGGTAATTGAACTTGTATTCTTGAGCTTTCGTTCTTGTGACCCAGCAAAGTGTGTTTTATTTTCGTTCATCTAACTTCTTTTAATTGTATTTGAGTTGAAGTAACCATTGTACTTCTATTAATTTTATTCTTTATTATCGATAAAAAAAAAAACCATATTTTTATTGACAAACTTTATGTAATTACTTAGAAAATTGCATGTTGAAATCTAACAAAGAAGAAAACATTATTGACTAAGTCGCATGTTAAATCTAACAAAAACGAAAACATCATTGACTAAATAACACGTATAGGCGGACAAGAAAATCAACGTTCTACACCGAACTTTACTTTTGCTTAGGTAATAACTATAAGATTATAATACTTTTATTTTATTAATTAAATATCCTAAAATCGTAATAAAAAAAATACTAGTTTAACAAATTATAGTGGCAGAATATTATACAAGTTAATACCATCAAATTAATATAAATTATTATCATCTTTAACAAATACATGTTATTAAAATATTATTTTTTGATAAAAAAATTCCATTTTTATTATTTATAAAATATTACTGGCCTTATTATAAATAATTTTTAAATTATAATTTCATAAAATTTAAAAAAGAAAATAATTGTAAAAACCACAACTATATTAAAATACAAAAATTATATGAAATTATTATTTTATCACACTGTATAAAAAATAAAAAAATAATATTAAGAGATAAATTCAATTTTTCTTATTATAATTGTCTTTAACTAATCAAAATTTGTCTTTATTACATTGAAGAAATGAGACAATTCATAAATTGTGCTCTAAGTTATGGAACCTTCTTTAGCTTTCACCTCTACAATTAAGCTTTGAAATGTCTTTTGCTTCTTTTGAAATTTTCTCTTTGGCAATAACGTTTCATCTATGGGAAAAGGATCTTTGAATTTATTACAACTTTTTAGATAAATGGGAAACAATTGTGGACTTTTTTTCATAAATAATACTGTTTTTAAAAATATTTTCCAAAATAGCACCTCTGCAACTTTATTTACACAACTAGCACTGTTTACTGTTCACGTGATAAAATAATATTATTTTGCGCAACTGTTTACTGTTCATGCATTAAAATAATATTATTTCGCACAATGAACTCTCGCTCAAGCGAAGAAACCCCTCGCTTGAGCGAGGAAATCTGTGACAAAGGAGTAATCTCGGGTCAATTATCGCTCAAGCGAAGAAAACCTTCGCTTGAGCGAGGAAATCCGTAAGAAAGGGTTATCTTCGGTCAACTCTCGCTCAAGCGACGCATATTTCGCTTGCGCGAGAAGTGATTAAAATATGTGGTGACCCAAGTTGCGTTATGTGGCTAACTGCGTTGGACGTTTAGCCAAATAATGCAACTTGGGTCACCACATATTTCAATCACTTTTCGCTCAAGCGAAAATACCCGTCGCTTTGAGCGAGAGTTGACCCGAGACTTTAGATAGCGGTTCTAGAACTAACCGCTATTAAAAATATATTTCAAAAGAACTTCAAAAAATTGTTGCGAATCCTTCTTGAAAAAGTGCTAAGGTTTGCTTGAATGATTGCTTAAGGATGTGTAAAAACTGATATTCAATGTATCTTTAAAAAGTTCAAGCAAACTGATTTTAAAGAGTATTTTCAAAACTGTTGCATTAATTAATCTGTTGAAAGTTTGTTTTAATCTGTTGAAATAGTCGTTTCAATATGTTAAAAGTCCTTTCAATCCATTAATACGTTCTTGATTCTTTAACAAATTTGTTTTAGCTGATACTACAACGGTTATATCAATTAAAACACTTTACAAAACTTTTCTAAGTTTGATTCAATCGATTGTTTCGTGTTTTAATCGATTGATATACTGCAAAACTTTCTTATAAAACTTTCAAAGTTATTTTAGCTGATAAAAAGAAGTTTTAATCGATTAAAACTTTGTACAAAATTTTTTCAAGTTGTTTTAATCGGTTGAAACGCGTTTTAATCGATTGAAACTCTGTACAAAATTTTTCCAAGTTATTTTAATCGATTTAAATGTGTTTTAATCGATTGAAACAGATCTGATCGGTCATAATTCAATTCGATCGATCATAACCAACTCGATCGGTCATAAGCGCATTCGATCGATCATTCTGACCCTTTAAGTGATTTTAATCGATTGAAACGTGTTTTAATCGATTGAAATAAGTTCTGATCGCTCATATTTCAAATCTGATCGGTCATAATGGGTTCTAAAGGGTTTTAATCAATTAAAAGTAATTTGTATCGATTAAAATACTCGTAAAAACACTTCTTTGATCATTCTAAGCCACTCCACGGAATTGATGCTTGATGACCCCACAACCTCAAGCACTTTAACCCTGAGTAACCAACCAACCATCAGTCAAGAAATTTTAAATTCTCTTTACATGCTATCATCCCCATATTCACATTCAATGAATCAATTACAGTCAGCTCCAGGTAAAACAATACAGAAACAAGATAATTTCATAAACAGAACAAACTCCCCTTTCAGCAACATCATATAATGCAACCTGGGTCACCTGCAGGTTTTCTCGCTCAAGCGATGCACTTCTCGCTCGAGCGATAATTGACCATAGCTAAACGTCCAATGCAGTTAGCCACATAATGCAACCTGGGTCACCACATATTTCAATCACTTCTCGCTCAAGCGAAATTACCGTCGCTTGAGCTAGACTTTACCCGAGATTTTAGATAGCGGTTTTAGAATTGACCGCTATTAAAAGTATATTTTACATAGCGGTTAACGTGGAACCGCTATTATATGTCGATTATTGTAAAATTATGATCGATTATTTCACGTTATAATCGATTATAAATATATTCGCTCAAGCAATGAGTGTCTCGCTTGAGCGATAGTTGCCCACGACCCAACTATATGTCTCACTTTTAAGAGCGGTTAATGTTTTAACCGCTCTTAGAAGTAACATATAATAGCGGTTAGTTCTAGAACCGCTATTTAAACCCAAGTTGCATTATTTGGCTAAACGTCCAACGCAGTTAGCCACATAACGCAACTTGGGCCACCACATATTTTAATCACTTCTCGCTCAAGCGAAATATCTGTCGCTTGAGCGAGAGTTGACCGGAGATAACCCTTTCTTACGGATTTCCTCGCTCAAGCGAAGGGTTTCTTCGCTTGAGCGATAATTGACCCGAGATTACTCCTTTGTTACAGATTTCCTCGCTCAAGCGAGGGATTTCTTCGCTTGAGCGAGAGTTCATTGCGCGAAATAATATTATTTTAATACATGAACAGTAAACAGTTGCGCAAAATAATATTATTTTATTACGTGAATAGTAAACCGTGCTAGTTGTGTAAATAAAGTTGCAGAGTTGTTATTTTGGAAAATATTTTTAAAAACAGTATTATTTATGAAAAAGTCAACAATTGTGTTGGGTGGTTGACAGCTATATGGAATTTAATTAATAATATGATCTATTTGGTTACTTAATAATATTTATCAAAGGTGGGGTTCATCCTTGACTTGAAGTCAACTTACAAATGAAGAGCTAAACAAGTGAATGTGCAGTTGGGAAGTCGTCAAGTTTGAATGAAGAACCAAAGCACACATACGTCACGCCTCTCATTTTGATCCTAAGTTTTCCAATTTCCAGATTAACAAACACTTAGCTCAATGTACAACATCAATTTCAAAATAACGGAGCACCACACACAAATGCTCTGACGCAATGCATATTCTTACTTTCATGATTATGGTTGCATGCATATTTGTTCCCTTTCTCAAAATTTCCACAGGAAATAGTTCTATCAATGTGTCCCAATCCCTGAGGGATAAGCAGATATTGATTTCAACTGGTGGAAAGTTTGAACTTGGGTTCTTCAGCCCAGGAAAATCCCAGAAACGTTACCTGGGCCTTTGGTACAAGAATATCCCAGATCAGAAAATTCTTTGGGTTGCCAATAGGGCCAACCCCATCAATGATTCCTCAGCCATCTTAACACTGAATCCCACAGGAAATCTTGTTCTTACCCAAAATAGATCTGTTGTTTGGCAAACCAACTCTCAAAAACAAGCACAAAATCCAGTAGCAGTGCTCTTGGACAGTGGCAATCTTGTGATAAGAAACGAAGGAGAAACAAACCCAAATGAGTATTTGTGGCAAAGCTTTGACTATCCAACTGATACACTCTTTCCCGGGATGAAGTATGGACGGGACCTCCGAACTGGTCTGGAATGGAGATATACTGCGTGGAAGAGTCCAGATGATCCATCCCCAGGAGACGTTTCTAGGGTTTTAAAACTCTATAGCTATCCCGAGTTTTATACAATGAAGGGAACACAAAAGTGGTTCAGGTTTGGACCTTGGAATGGCCTATATTTTAGTGGATCACCAGATCTACAGAACAACACCATATTTGGGTTCAATTTTGTCAGCAATGAGGATGAGATTTACTATACTTATACCCTTGCAAATGATTCTGTCCTCTCCATAAATGTAATAAACGAAACAGGTACAGTTTCTGGCTATGTATGGGAGAAGGGTGGTCAAAATTGGAGGACATGTAGATACCTCCCGAATGAGTTTTGTGACAATTATGGTCTTTGCGGACCCTACGGGAACTGCATAAGTACCCAAACACAAGTCTGCCAATGTTTAAAAGGTTTCAAACCAAAGTCGCCAAAGAAATGGAACTCTTCGGATTGGAGTGGAGGATGTGTCCGCAATAAACCGTTAAGTTGCAACGGTACAGACAGAGACGGGTTTGTGAAATTTGAAGGGCTGAAAGTTCCTGATACTACACATACTTTGTTGGATGAGAGTATTGATCTAGAGCAATGCAGAGAGAAGTGCTTAAATAATTGTACTTGTATGGCCTATGCTAATTCGGACATAAGAGGTTCAGGTAGTGGTTGTGTCATGTGGTTTGGAGATCTCATTGATTTGAGACAGTTTCAACCTGGTAAACAAGATCTATACATCAGGATGGCTGCTTCAGAGTTAGGTAAACTCAAGATCTTTTATCTTTTATCATTTGAGTTGCAACTTTGGAAATGCTAAAATCTCTATTAACTTTTATCCTTTATCCGTTCCAACTGTCCAGAACCTGTTTATAGCCACAAGAAGATGAAGACCGTAACAATAGTAGTTTCCACCGCGGCGGCAATTTGCGTTGTTCTATTATGTTCCTATTTATTCTGCAGAATCCGGAGGAATAAATCTGGTAAATAATAGTTTACTTACATTAATTTTTCTACTGAACACATGACTGCGCTTTTATATATTTGTTTGGTTAAAACTTTTCTATATATAACTTTGTAGAGTGGTAAATATGAAACTGTAGATACAAATATTAGAAAATATTTGATGAATTGATATAAATATAAATATAAATACTATGCTAGTCAACCTTCAAGTCCTTTTTATATAGGATTCCTTTTGTTTACACTGTTATCCAATGTAAGGAGTTTTTGAATAATGAGTAAACTAATTTAATCTGTCTTTAATCCGAGTCTTAGGGTTTTTACCAGGTCACTAATCTCTAGTCTCTGTATGATAGATTTTATATAAGAGGGGAATAAAAATTTAAACTCAACCTCATTTTTGTTGACTTTTATGAAATCACGGAAAAAATCAAGTGCATCTTTTGTTAAAATTTTATTTATTTATATATGTTTAAATAAATCATGCATTTACTTATGTATTATGTTTTAATCTAAATATTATATAAAATTAATAAATAACGAGGACATAAAAATAAAACATCTGAAAAAATAATTATATTCTTATAGGCATAAATTATTTTAACTATTATTATAATTTAAGCTATTTGACCATTACAAGCAATTCATTGTTCAATAGACCTTAGAATGAAAGTAAGAAAATTAAATCTCCATCACTGAACTAGTCCCTACCCGGTTAATACAAACAAAGAAAACTCAAAGCAGATCGTGAAGTCCTTCCTCCGTTTTGTAGGGCAATCATTGGCAGAAGAACACCATGAAAAGCAAGTGGATGATCTGGACGTCCAATTGTATGATCTATTCACAATTGCAACTGCCACTAACGACTTCTCTGTAGAACATAAGATTGGAGAAGGTGGTTTTGGACCTGTCTACAAGGTAATAATTCTTAGAAAAAAGGCAGAATATAAATATTAGTGCAAAGCATCTAGTCATAATCTGAGTATGCAGGGAATATTAACAGATATGCAAGAAATTGCTGTAAAGACTCTATCAAGGAGCTCATGGCAAGGAGTAACAGAGTTCATAAATGAAGTAAAATTGATTGCTAAACTTCAGCATCGAAATCTAGTAAAACTTCTTGGTTGTTGCATTCAAGGACAAGAAAAAATGCTAGTTTATGAGTACATGGCAAATGGCAGCTTAGATTCCTTCATATTTGGTATGGAAAACCAACAAAGCATAGATTTGGTTGTTAAGTGGTATAAGCATATTATTCACATTGAAGATTCAGTGTTTAATAACATTATTGCTTGAATAAACAGATGATATAAAAAGTAATTTGCTAGAGTGGCCTCAACGCTTCCACATAATCAATGGAATTGCAAGGGGGCTTATGTATCTTCATCAAGATTCACGATTGAGGATTATCCATAGAGATCTCAAAGCAAGCAACGTTCTTCTTGATGAAAATTTGAACCCAAAAATATCAGATTTTGGATTGGCCAGGATTTTTGGAGGAGACCAGATTGAAGGAAACACGAGCAGAGTAGTAGGGACCTAGTGAGTGTCTGGTTCACCAACATCAATTTTCCCTTTTCATAAATAAAATGTTCTTGATGTAATGTGTGATTTGCAGTGGCTATATGGCACCGGAGTATGCTGTTGACGGATTATTTTCTGTGAAATCAGATGTCTTCAGCTTTGGCATTTTACTACTGGAGATTGTATGTGGGAAGAAAAATAGAGGATTTTATAACACAGATGAGAGTCTTAACCTCGTTGGTCATGTAGGAGCTTGAATCTACCTTCAAATAAAATATGTGTAATTCAAATATACAAATAATAATAATTATTGTCATTATGACACAGGCATGGACATTATGGAAAAGTGGGAGGGCATTGGAGTTGGTTGATTCCAACATGAAGAAGTCATGCATTGTAGCAGAAGTTCTGCGTTGTCTCCATGTTAGTCTGTTGTGTGTGCAGCAGTACCCAGAAGATAGGCCTACAATGGCGTCTGTGATTCTCATGTTGGAGAGTCAAATGGAACTGGTTGAGCCCAAAGAACATGGTTTCATTTCAAGAAATAATGTTTTAGCTGAAGAAGATTTACGTTCAAATTGGAAAGACATGAGTTCAAGCAACCATGTAACAATTACCATGTTAGAGGCTAGGTAAAGAAAAATGATTGTTGAACACTGAGAAATTATGTGTTAAATGAATGTAATATGTTCTTTGTTATCAGTGTATACCATAGGTGAGATAATGTATAGAAAAAGAAAGAAAGATGTATATATGTGTTAGTGGATGAGAGGTACACCAATTAATACTCACACTGAAACTTGGTTGGCATTTTCATTTGCAAAAACTTGCATGCAAAAGTTATTAAAACCTAATCAATAACCTAATATATGTTTTATTTAAAATATATAAATAAATTAAAATAAACAAATTGAGTCTGGTTCCACACTGCTAATCTATTCAATGGAAGTGAAGTGAAGTTTAAATTTTTCAAAATGCCTTTATTTTTTTTAATAAGTTTCCATTTGTAAGTAAAAGGAATTAATATCACAACCTTAACTAGATTACAGTTTCGTAATACCAATGAATTGTAGGTTGTGCTGTACTTTCATTCTGTTACCAATTCCCTTACCATTCATTTCAGCTTTAAATATTAATAGTTAATAGTTTAAAACAAGTTTCATCTAAAAGAATAATTATTATATAATTTAAAAATTAAAACTTATGATACAATATAACGTTCCAAATAATTATCAACTTAAGAAATTACTTGAATTGAAATATTCTAGAATGTAGAGAAATCCTTGATTTAGTCAATAATTTAGACTTAAAGTTTAAGGGAACTAGTTTATAAAGTAATAATTGACTTCTTTAACTCTGCATTTAAAAGTATGCACACGCATGTTGACTCACCCCACACAAATGCCTTCAAGGGAAGATTTTACCACATGAAATAAGTTATGGAGTACATTGATATTACCTAAGAAATCAATGAGTTTGGGGAGGCTTGTTCAACGATAGAACGATGAGAAAATAAAAAACCAATAAAATAAGCTCACAAAACTTATACGTATCTAAATATTTTTCATGTTTTTTTAATTAAATTTGGAAATTTTCTTTAATAAATTGTATTTAAATACATTACATATAAATAACGTAAGATTTAAATATGAACACAACAGTACAATATTCTAGTTAATTTTTCTCCTAAAATAAAGTTATAACATTATTTAATTTAACATTTTTTTATAATAATGGTAAAAAGTTATAAAAAAAATGACTGAATAATTAATGAAAGTGGTACGTTGAAGAAGCCAATGATTCAGGTGTGGCGTCAATGACTTCCAATTGGTATATATAATATAGATTTCGGATTCAAATGAAGTTTAAAGTCGTTATTATAGTTGTTATTACGTATTTGAAAGGCATCTTAGAGGTAGGTTACGTATGCATAACAATAAAAGTCTTACAAGAAGAAGACATCATTGGCCAACTGGAAAATTCAACTCTCAGAAACAAAAATAGATAAATTATATTGCCAATTAATCAAGTCTACTGTGTCATTTTTACTTAAATTTTTGAATGAACATTCAATTCATTCTCTCTATCTCCTTTAATTATTAAAAATTATCAAACCGTTTCTTAATACAACAATTTAAACCATTATTATAGTAAATCTAAAATCAAAATTAATGTTTGATATATTTTTATATTTTCAACAGATTAAGTATCTAATTGAAAATTATAATGTCTAAGTTGAATAATTCAACAATCTCATTCAATTTAATCACATTCAATTTTTATATTTTTTACGATTGAGTTAAATTCTATCTAACTCAATTTAATATTTGAAAATATTAATATATATATATATATATATATATATATATTGTTTTTTTTTAGAAAAATCCAAACTTAATCCAACCGTACAACAAATGTTGTTATGTGTTGAATGAAATCAGAATGATTTGGAACAAAGTGTTGAGAATTAATTTTTCATGTCCAGCTCAACCGTGACTCCATGGTAAAACACAGTGCTATCTTTCAACAAATACCCTTGATTTGATTTATTTAAGAAATTCAACTTCGATAATTAAACATAAAGTAGTAACGTCAACTTCGCCTCGCATTTAAAATTTAAACAGTGTAAGCCGTAAGCAGAAAGTAAGGCATCTTATCTAAGCAAAAACTACTGAAAAATCTTTTCTTATGTTTTACTCATTCAACTTGTACTGTTACCCTAATAAAAATTCTCAAAACAACGTGTTGAAGGTCACATTGACTAAACAAATATGGTTAAATTAATTAAAGAGATATAAATAATTATCATATATGATTTAATTTTGTGAGATTAAATTAAATTTAAAATATATATTTTAAGATGGTAAAACTATTGACATTAAATTTAAATTTTATAAATCTAACTTAACCCAATTTTTAGGTTGATTACGAGGAGAGTAATAACAACAACAAATTCATTCTTGATGGGAGAATTATATCAAAGAATATGATATTATTTAAAAAATAAATAAAATTTATGATTTATTAGTATTTTTATTTAATTTTGTTTCTTACTTAATCTAAGATTTTGTTGTATCTATCATGTTACTTTATAAAATTAATCATAAATTTTTCATTTCACACTTTGATATTTCCAATTATTGGTACGAGAGCATGACGACATTTTAATTAAATATAAATTAAATTATAATATATAGATGAATATAAATTTTATAGTATAAGTCATTTTATAAAGCTAAATCTAATTTATTTTAAATGAATAAAATGTATCTAAACGAAACACAAGATCATACTAGGTTACATGGTTGACTTGTATTTCAAGTTAATTACAAAAAGCATACGTTAGAGACTCGCAGCTTCCGCAGAATTTCATGGCCTCGTGTTTATGATACACCGAGCTTTGTCCATATATTATCGTTATCCAATCGCAGAGTTCCACAAGAGCTGTGATACAATGGGTGTTCATACTTTCGTGGTTTTATATGCATGCATACTTGTTCTCTCTCTAGAAATTTCCGCAGCAAATGATTCAATCAACGTGCTCCAGTCTGTGAGTGATGATGGGAAGACCTTGGTATCAAAAGGTGGAATCTTTGAACTTGGGTTCTTCAGCCCTGGTAGCTCCCATAAACGTTACTTGGGAATTTGGTACAAGAATGTCCCAGATAAGACAGTTGTTTGGGTTGCTAATGGGGCCCACCCCATCAATGATTCCTCTGGCATCTTAACACTCAACACCACAGGCAATCTTGTTCTCACCCACAGTGGTTCTTTTGTTTGGCACACCAACTCTCAGAAACAAGAACAGAATCCGGTGGTACAACTCTTGGACAGCGGCAATCTTGTGATCAGAAACGACGGAGAAAATAACCCGGAAATGTATTTGTGGCAAAGCTTTGACTATCCATCTGATACACTCATGCCAGGGATGAAGCTTGGATGGGACCTCCGAACTGGTTTGGAATGGAAATACACTGCATGGAAGAGTCCAGATGATCCATCCCCAGGAGATGTTTCTCGGGTTATGAAACTCTATAACTATCCTGAGATTTATATGATGAAGGGTACAAAAAAGTTGCTCAGGTATGGACCTTGGAATGGTGAATATTTTAGTGGGATGCCTGATCTACTGAATAACAGCATTTTTGGCTTGAGTTTTGTCAATAATGAGGATGAGGTTTACTGCACCTTTACCCTCGTGAATGATTCTGTCTTCTCCAGAACTGTAACAAACCAATCAGGTACCATTGTTCGTTATGTATGGCAGGAGGGTGATGAAATATGGAGAATATATAGATCCTACCCGAAAGAGTATTGCGACAATTATGACCTCTGTGGACCCAACGGATCCTGTGAACGAACTCAATCACAACCCTGCCAATGTTTGAAAGGTTTCAGTCCAAAGTCACCACAAAATTGGAACTCATCGGATTGGACTGAAGGATGTGTGCGCAATAAACCGTTGAGTTGCAAAGGTGATGTGTTTATCCTATTTGAAGGGTTAAAAGTTCCAGCTACCACATATACTTGGTTGAATGAGAGTATTGGCCTCAAGGAATGCAAAGTGAAGTGTTTGAATAATTGTACTTGTATGGCCTATACTAATTCAGATATAAGAAATGGGGGTAGTGGTTGTGTCTTGTGGTTTGGAGATCTCATTGACATGAAAAAGATTGAAACTGGTGGGCAAGACCTGTATATCAGGATGAATGCTTCTGAGGCAGGTAAGCACCATCAACTTTGATATTTTCATTTCAATTGCAATTTTGAAAATTCACAATATCACTCTAACTTTAGACTTTGCTATTTTATTTTTTAATCAATTCCAACCCTCAAGAACCTGTACCAAGCAACAACAACACGCGAACGATAGTTGCCTCAACCATTGCTGCAATTTGTGGGGTTATTCTTTTTCTAAGCATATATATTATTTGCAGACTCCAGAGGAAGAATGCTAGTAAGTAAATTATTTATCCACATGACTGCACTTTTCTAGGTTTCTATAAAATTATTCGGTATGTTGTAATTAATTGGAGGAATATCTGCTATAAAATATTAGATAATCAACCTACAATTCCTTTCAACACAGCATTTATTTAGATGAAGGATCACGCAATTGGTTCGTTTATTAGAATTGTTTCCTTATAGTCCGAATTGCCTAAACTGCACATGCTACTGAGTTACTTACTTCTTTTATATTTAAAGAAGTTCAGTATAGATGCTGCACTTTTGATCTCCGTGGAATGATCAAAAGCAACTTGTACCCATTGCATATTATAGGAGCATTTTATTTATTCCTGATCAGGAATAAATTATCAATATGCTGATCTCCACTTGTTATATTATCGTGTTTTTTAGAAATAAATTTAATTTATCTATATATAGATTTGTACTTGTTTTCTTAAATTGTTTTGTTTTGTTCATCCATTTGTATTTTTTTTTTCTTTTAAATCTTTTTATTATAAATTATTGATCTTGATTATATAAAATCATAACAAGATAGTAGTACTTTTGCAAATTGGTTCATTAAAAAGAAGAAAGATAACGTCATGATCCAATCATCATTTAATATGATCTTAAGTTTTAAGAGTTTTCTGGGTATGGTTGTTTGGTACGAGTTTTAAGATAAACATCGTCGAAGTCAACAAACTTATTATATATAGAGGTGGTGATTAATAACAACATAAAAACACTTTAAACTATCAATACTTCTCCGGTTCTTTCTTTACGTTATTCTTACTCATTTAAATTTCCTACAGAAGTACTGTTATGACATTATTGAAAGCCTTCCTCTTCTGTTTAGGAAATTCATCGACAGAAGAGAACAATGAGAAACATGTAGATGATCTGGACGTCCAATTGTATGATCTACTGACGATTGAAAATGCCACTAAAAACTTCTCCATAGAGAATGTGATAGGAGAAGGTGGTTTTGGACGTGTATACAAGGTAGCCATTCTTTGATCACTACCATCACAGAAAATGAAATTTATGTAAATCTTATTCCAAAGTGTCCACCATGAGTATGCAGGGAATATTAATCGACAAGAAAGAAATTGCTGTAAAGACTCTATCAAGCAGCACGTGGCAAGGAATGACAGAGTTCATCAATGAAGTAAACTTGACTGCAAAACTTAAACATCGGAATCTTGTAAACCTTCTTGGTTGTTGCATTCAAAGAGAAAAAAGAATGCTCGTTTACGAGTACATGGCAAATGGCAGCCTAGACTTCTTCATTTTTGGTAAGGAAAATGAGCAAAGCATAAATTGGGTTGTTAATGACATTGGAGAAACATGCAGATTAATATATATAACTGAATATTCAACACTGAATAACATTTTTGCTTGAATAAAACAGATGATAAAAAAAGTCAACTGCTGGAGTGGCCTCAACGGTTCCACATAATTTTCGGAATTGCAAGGGGCCTTATGTACCTTCATCAAGATGCCCCACTGAGGATTATCCACAGAGATCTCAAAGCAAGTAACATCCTACTCGATCAAAAATTGAATCCGAAAATATCGGATTTTGGTGTGGCGAGATCTTTTGGAGTAGACCAATTTGAAGGAAGCACAAATAGAGTAGTAGGGACCTGGTGAGTTTCTACCTGTTTCTCCTGAACCATTTTTCTCCTCTCACAAATATGTAAAATTGTTCATGATGCATGAAACAATGTCTTGCAGTGGGTATATGGCACCGGAGTATGCAGCTGATGGATTATTTTCTGAAAAATCTGATGCCTTTAGCTTTGGCATTCTGGCGTTGGAGATTGTGTGTGGGAAGAGAAATAAAGGACTTTATCACATAGACACGAGTCTTAACCTCGTTGCTCATGTAAGAGCTTTGACATATACGTTTGTTTCAAAGAAATTTAACAAATAGTTATCCTTTTTTTTTTTCTGATATGTTTATTATTATAAAACAGTTATGGTCATTATGGAAAGCGGGCAAGCCAATAGATTTCGTTGACCCAAACATGAAGAAATCATCATGCGTTGTATCTGAAGTACTCCGTTGTCTCCATGTCAGTCTTTTGTGTGTGCAACAGATCCCAGAAGATAGGCCTACAATGTCGTCCGTGATTCTAATGTTGGAGGGTCACAAGGAATTGGTTGAGCCTAAAGAACCTGGTTTCATTTCCAGCAAAGTTTTACTTGTAGAAGAATTACTCTCACCTCAGAAAGACACAAATTCAACCAACGAAGTGACCATTACCATGTTAGACCCTCGATGACTGATCATGAGACGTTAATTGGACAAACACTAAGTATAGATATAGGAGGATATTTGTAAGAACTTATATGCACAAGTTATGAGGACTTGTGTTATCCTGCATCTTCTTGTTAACTTATGTTGATATGCATGCTAATGGAACTTATAAGTTCTCAAATGATAAACTTAATGCATTTGTACTTGTTTATCTAAGTTGTTGAAGTCTGTTGACTCAAACAACTTGTAGTTACAAAGATTCCAAACCTAAGCTAACCAGATAAAAAACTTTTGTAGATCTTATCTCTTGATAATAGTGATTTTTCTAATAAAATAATAATTTTGTTCTAGTGACACCGAATTTAATTGATTTTAATAAAATTATTATAAAAATTGAGTAATATATAAATATAATATCATTGTGATATGCTAAAACTAAAATAAAATACAAATCTATAGGCTAATTAAAGCATTTAAAATATATATAAAAAATAAAATAAAATATGTTATATTAATAATATTTGTCAATATTTTTTAATAATAATAATAATAAGTATATATAGAATAATAAATATTTTAGATTGATTTATATTTTTAAGATTTTTTTTTCTATTTTGAAAAAAAAATCAATAATGTTATTAACTATTTTTTAACTAAACTGATTTAGACCGGTTTTTGGCCGATTTTACTCAATTTTTTACTAATTTTCTTATTGTTTGACCACTTCATATAGGTCCATTCTTGTCACAAACAAAAATTTATAAAATAATGTCTACATAAAATATCTTATGTGTGAGTTGATACAAAGTCTAAAGGATTTTTAAAAAGGAAAACCGAAAAGGATGGAGTGACACTTCATTTTTCTCATGTTGTCGTTAAAAAGATATTAATTTTTTCTACAAGCACATGAAATGATAATGTTGTTGTTGACCTAATCAATGTTATAGTTATGTTATCACGTATCTCTCTAGCCAATGAATTTAAAAAAGAATTTTTTTCTCTAATAAATAAAAAATATAAAGTATTTGTCATTAAAAACAGTTTTTATTATAAAATAATATTATTATATATTGTGGGAAAAGATTATAATATATTTTATTAACTAATTTATAATATTCCCAAACAAATAAATGTTTTATATTTTCAAAATCAGTTGTTTGATCTTGCCTAATAATATACTAATATTAGACATTCTGCTTTAAATATAGCCCCCTAATCAGAAAATTGGGTTCTGGTGATTGACTTTTCAAAGATAAGTTCAATCAAGTAATCAAAGCATACGTCAGAGATTCAGATTATACTGAATGAATCTTCCATATTCGTTATGATACTACTTAATCCATACAATATACAATCGCTCAGCGCAACTAAACCTGTAATCAATGGACATTCTTTCCTTCATGATTATGGTTACGTGCATACTTGTTTCCCTACTCAAAATTTCTCTAGGAAATGATTCTCTTAAGGCGCCACAGTCATTGAGTGACGGACAGACCTTGGTGTCAAAAGGTGGAATGTTTGAACTTGGGTTTTTCAGCCCAGGTAGTTCCCAGAAACGTTACCTTGGCATTTGGTACAAGAATATCCCAACTCACACATTTGTTTGGGTAGCTAATGGGATGAACCCCATCAATGATTCCTCGGGTATCTTAACACTCAACAACACAGCCAATCTTGTTCTCACCCAAAATGGGTCTCTTGTTTGGCACACCAACGTTCAAAAACAAGCACAAAATCCAGTGGCAGTGCTCTTGGATAGTGGCAATCTTGTGATAAGAAATGAGGGGCAAACAAACCCAGAAGATTATTTGTGGCAAAGCTTTGACTATCCATCTAATACACTCTTGTCAGGGATGAAATTAGGATGGGACCTCCGAAATGGTCTGGAACGGAAAGTGACATCTTGGAAGAGTCCAGATGATCCATCCCCAGGTGATGTTCATTGGGTTTTGAAACCCTATAATTATCCTGAGTTGTATCTGATGCAGGGAACAAAAAGGATATTGAGATACGGACCTTGGAATGGCGTATACTATAGTGGATTACCAGATCTAAGGAATAACACCATTTTTGGCATCATTTCTGTGAGAAATAAGGAAGAGATTTACGAATCCTTTAGCCTCATAGATAATTCTATCCTCTGCATAGGTGTAATAAACCAAACAGGTAGAATTTATACCTATGTATGGGCGGAGGGTGATCAAGTATGGAGGACATATGTTTCACAACCAAAAGACTTTTGCGACTCTTATGATCTCTGCGGCGCCTATGGGATATGCATGAATTCAGAAACACAAGTATGCCAATGTTTGAAAGGTTTTAGTCGAAAGTCACCACAAGCAACTGAGTGGAGTCAAGGATGTGTCCGCAATGAACCGTTAAGTTGCAACGGTACAGACAAAGATGGGTTTGTGAAATTTGAAAGGTTAAAAGTTCCAGATTCGACTCATACATGGGTGGATGAGAGTATTGGTCTAGAGGAATGCAGAGTGGAGTGTTTGAGTAATTGTTCTTGTATGGCCTATACAAATTCAGACATAAGAGGTACAGGTAGTGGTTGTGTCATGTGGTTTGGAGATCTCATTGACTTGAAACAGTTTGACACTGGAGGGCAAGATCTATATATCAGGATGTCTGCTTCGGAGTTAAGTAAGCACCATCCACTTTGATTTTCTCATGTTCTACTTTGAAAACTCTCATTCTTAATTTAACCTTATCTTTATTTTACAATCCTCCAGAACACAAGAAGAACACACTCACGATAGTTGCTTCCACCGTTGCAGCAATTATTGGTGTTTTGTTATTATTAAGTTCTTATTTTATCTGCAGAACCCGGTGGAACAATGCCGGTACTGTATACATTATTACATTTTTCTATTTTTGTTAAGATGTGAATAAGTAAATATTTGTTGTCCATGTCATATCTGCTAATAGTTCTCCTCATTGCAGAGAAAGACAAGGGCGTGAAGGATGATATTAATTTACCAACATTTGATTTTTCATCCATCTCCAATTCCACAAATCACTTTTCAGAAAGTAACAAATTGGGACAAGGTGGCTTTGGGCCAGTATATAAGGTAAGAAAATAAAATTTAGCCGTGGAACACATCCTCAACATATAAGAATTTCACTGTTTACGAAAATTGTTATCAGGGCATATTAGGTGGACAAGAGATCGCAGTGAAGAGACTTTCTGAAACTTCTAGACAAGGTTTGGACCAGTTCAAAAACGAAGTCAGGTTCATTGCAAAACTTCAACACCGCAATCTAGTAAAGCTTCTTGGTTGTTCTATTAAGCAAGATGAGAAGCTCTTGATTTATGAATTCATGCCCAATAGAAGCTTAGACTACTTTATTTTTGGTTAGAGCTTCGTCAAAACATATATAATCCTTCATATTTTTTGTATTTGTCACAACTAGTTGTCATGCTAACTTAGAAGTGAACTTTGTCAGATTCAACAAGGCGTACATTATTAGATTGGGCTAAGCGATTTGAAATTATTGATGGAATTGCTCGAGGACTTCTTTACCTTCATCAAGACTCCAGACTAAAGATAATTCACAGGGATCTCAAAACCAGCAATATTCTTCTTGATAAAAATATGAACCCAAAAATATCAGACTTTGGAATGGCTAAGGCATTTGGGCTAGATCAAGATGGAGCAAATACAAATAGAATAATGGGCACATAGTAAGTTTGTTTGAACTTTTTTTTATTTATTTTCCTGGTCTTCATCTTTTCATTGTTGACTCTTACTTTGTTGTGCAGTGGTTATATGCCTCCTGAGTATGCTCTACATGGATTTTTCTCAGTTAAATCTGATGTCTTCAGCTTTGGTGTACTTGTACTGGAGATAATCAGTGGGAGAAAGATCAGGGAATTTCGGGACCCATACCATCACCTTAATCTTCTAGGGCATGTAAGTCTAATAAATAGAAATCTATGTGAATAATAACACTTTGGTCCATGAAACAGTGAACATTTCTAATGAGGAAAATGAAATAATTTTTCATTTTCAGGCATGGAGATTGTGGATTGAGAAAAGACCAATGGAATTTATGGATGACTTATTAGACAATTCAGCTAGTGTATTTGAAGTAATGAGATATATTCATATTGGTTTGTTATGTGTTCAACAAAAGCCAGAGGATAGGCCAAACATGTCATCAGTAATTCTAATGTTGAATGGTGAAAAGTTATTGCCCGAACCGAGTCAACCCGGATTCTACACAGGAAATGATCATCCGACCGAGGTAGAATATTCTCCAAGATATTCCACGAATGAGATGTCTAACTCTTTGTTGGAGGCAAGATAAAAAGAGAGATAATTTGAGATTAGAGAAGTGTTGCTCACATTTATTTTCTTTACAAATTATTGTATAGATTATATATAATTTTATTAGAATTTACTATAATTGTAAAATATTTTAGTTTTATAAATGTACATATATTTTATATCTTATAAATAGTTTCTACATGTTTTATTTTATATTAGAAAATAAATATATTTCAATTTATATAAGTTGGTATATGAGTGTGATTATCTTTTAAATCTCTTGAATCATTTAAATGTCCAAATGAAAGAAAGAAAAATTGATACATCTAAAATGATATAAGTTTCTTATGTTATTCAAACTAAGAAAAAAATCAATATTCTTTAAAAAATATTTATAGTAACAAAAAGGAGATACAAATGTTATATGAGAAATGAGGTCTTTACTTTCAGATAAAATAAAAAGGTATTTATACTAGAAGCAATTATGAACAATTCTGATAAGATTAATAATACTTTTAATGATATATGGATTATTGATATTAAAACTATAAATCATATGACATTTGATTATAGTAAATCACCAAAATTAAATTATTTACACAAAAATATGTTTCTACTATAAATGGAAATAAAACCTAAATGATTGGGGAAGGATCTTTAAATGTTACTAGTACATTAAATCTTGATTTTATCAAATTTTCTTTCTTTAAATTTTAATCTTTTATTTGTTTCTCAAATTAAATTTATTCATCTATGTGATAATTTTTTTAATGATATGAAAACATAACAATCAATTGATTATTGTATTAAGAAAGGAAAATTATGCTACCTAAATCTTAAAAAAAAAAATTGATAAGTCACAACACGAATTAACTGTTGCTAATTTTAAGTGAGAAAATAAAAAACCTAAAATGATAATTGTAATATTAATGCCTTGGTCATGATCCATTTGAGAATTTAAAAAAATTATTTTCTACCTTATAAAAAAAACATGATTTTTCTAATTTTAAATGTGATGTTTGTGAACTAGAAAATAGTTATAGAATGTCATTTTTATTAATTTTAAATAAGAGTTCTCAACCTTTTATGATAATATATTATGACGTGTGGATCCATCTAAAATCCAAACTTTGGGTAAATATTCTTGGTGTTTTACTTTTATTAATGAAATTAAAAAAAGATGAGGTAAGTGTATTATTTAAAAAAATTTATAAAATGGTAAAAACTTAATATAAGGCTAAAATTCAGGTTTTACATAGTGATAATGATGAAGAGTGTAAAAATTGTGAACTCCAATAATAGTTAGAAGCTAATGGAACTATTAATCAAACTATTTTTTTCTAATACACCTTAAAAAATGTGGTGGTTAATTGTGCTTGATTGATTAAGGCACACATGTCATTGTGTTATTGGAGAGAAATTCTTAGTTCAGTAGTACATTTGATAAATGGAACTTCCTGAAAGTTCTGTTGCTTTTAAGATTTCTTTTGAAACATTCCACAATTTAATTGTCACTCCAATTATTCCTATTTTAGCCCATCTATTTGGATGTGTTGCATTTATTAATTTTTATAATATCAATGTAACACATTGACTCTAAGGGTCATTCGATGAGTTTGATGGATATGCTATATATACATAACAAAATTAATTTTAAGAGGATCCGTTCAAGCCTATATTTTTCCTATGAGTTTGATTTTCAAGGAGGAACCAACAAGAAATTCAAACTTTAAAGTATAAACCCAAACTTTAGAGTACAATTTGGATATAAATTATATAATTTCATATATTCACCTTTCTCTAGAAGAAACTAATATTAGAGCACCATCACAAGAACTTTGTACTAAAGATGATATTAAAACTTCACATGAATCTCTTAGTGATTATAATATTGAAGTCTCATGTAAATTTCTTAATGAAAAAGTTCCATAAAAACCTCTTAATAGAAATAACATATATTACAAATAATTGGTTATGGAAAAATTGTCCAAATTGTCTCACTAAATACATTCCTAAATTTATTTATGAGTGAAAACTTTCTAATAAAGTTAAATATTCTACCATATCTATAGGAGGTTTTGAGCATTTAAAATATATAAAAATTAAAATAAAATGTATTATATCAATAATATTTATCATTATTTTTTATTAATAACAAGTATATAAAGAATAAAAAATAATTTTAGATTGTTTTTATAATTTTGAGAAAATTGTTTTCTATTTTGAAGAAAAAATCAATTATGTTATTAACTATTTTTTAATTAAACTGATTTAGACCGGTTTTGGCTGATTTTACTCATTTTTTTACTAATTTTCTTATTCTTTGACCATTTCATATAGGTCCATTCTTGTCATAACGAAAACTGATTTATAAAATAATATATATTTGGGAGTTGATACAAAGTCTACGGGATCTTTAAAAATTAAAACAGAAATGGATGGAGTGACATTTCACCTTGTTTGGAAGCGTGGAATGATAGAGTTGTGAGAGAATGAGAGATAAAAGTGTGACTCTTTGGAGAATGAATAGATGGTAAGAAGTATAAGAAAATGAAAATAGAATTTTTGTGAGTGATTTAATTGATAAAAAAATAGTTTAATAAATAAATTTAAAGATTATCAAATTATTTTAAAAAAAATTATTGTTATTAATATAATTTAAAATATTATAATTATTTAAATTAATTTTGTTTTAATTATTAATATTATTAAAATAATAATAATAATTACTATTATTATTATTATTATTATTAAATTTCAAGTTGAATAAACGTCTAATAATGATGATGAATTGATTCTCTATAATTATAATAATTATTATTATTATTAGACTGGAAGAATAGATTTTTTTATGATTAAGAGAATTAATTCTAGTTCAATAAATGTGGTAAAAAATTTATTCTTCATTTCAAAAAATAGGGTTACTTTTGTAAATATAATTTAGATGTCTTTTCAGTCTGATCTCCTCAATTTACCAAGGATTTTATATTCACTTAATTCCTCAAATCCTCAAGTCTAGTTCCATCCATGAAAATAAATGCAACACTCACTTATTTTTTTTCATCCACGTAGATAATAAATAAATAGAAACACACACAAATTCATGTTCTCGTTAAAAAGATATTTTTTTTTTCTATGAGCACATGAAAATGATAATGTTGACCTAATCAATCTTAGGGTTATGTTAACAACTATCTCTTTAATATTTAATTTTAAAATAATGTTAGTTTAACAGACTATATTTTATTTTTAATTAAAAAAAAGAGATTTATACTTTATAATTCCACTTGAAGAAAAATAAATTTTGATTACAGACTCTAAAACTAAAATTAATGTAATAAAATTTTAAAATCTATATGAATCTTACTACTCTAATAATTCTTAAAAAAAAAATTTGTGAGTGAATGGCAACTATAACCTCTCTTTGTCAGAATGAGGATTAGCTGATTCAACAGAAAAATTGTTGAACCGTTCTAGTGTATGGTTCATTAGATCATAAAACTAGTCTTCAATTAAACTCATCCAAAATCGATGAATCGATCAAAATTGGAAAAGATCTGATAAAAACTGATTTTATATAAAGTATATTGTCATAAAAAAATATTTTAAAATAATATTATTATATTGTTGAAACTTAACCTAAAGATTATATTTGATTTTTAAATGTCTTTTGAAGGTTAAAAAATTATAATGTATGTTATTTTTAGTTTTTAGTATTATTAAGTTATGATATTAAATTTTCCTAATATATTATTTTATTAAAATTGATTCAACAATTGGTTTAATTAGTAAACTTTAAACTTGACCAGTTTAATAATCAGTCTGACTTTCAAAACATATAACATTATTTAATGTTGGTGTGAAAACAATATTTTTTATATTTTATTATTTAATGCTCTAAATTTTACTTAATTATATTTTATTCAATTAATTTTATCTTAATTGATTAACCAATTTATATTATTAGCAAACAAAGAAATATTTTATATTTTTAAAATCATTTGTTTGATCTTGCCTAAAAATATATTATTAGTACAAGCTTGGATATTTTCTTATGGGTTAATTTTAAACCCTAAATCGTTAATGTTTAAGAGTACTGTACTAATAAAGTCTCTGTATTGTAGTTAGTTTAATGGCATGCTAGGACCATATGAGCATTTAGTCAAATTCATGATCAAATTTTCCTTATTTTATAGACATTTTGCTTTAAATATAGCCCCCTGATCAGAAAAATAAGTGCTCGTGCTTGACTTTCAAGTTTAATTCAATCGAATAATCAAAGCATACGTCAGAGATTCAGATTATACTGAATGATTCTTCCATTTTCGTTATGATGATACTTAATCCATACAATATACAATCGCTCAGCGCAACTAAACCTGTAATCAATGGACATTCTTTCCTTCATGATTATGGTTACGTGCATACTTGTTTCCCTACTCAAAATTTCTCCAGGAAATGATTCTCTTAAGGCGCCACAGTCATTGAGTGACGGACAGACCTTGGTGTCAAAAGGTGGAATGTTTGAACTTGGGTTTTTCAGCCCAGGTAGTTCCCAGAAACGTTACCTTGGCATTTGGTACAAGAATATCCCAACTCACACATTTGTTTGGGTAGCTAATGGGATGAACCCCATCAATGATTCCTCGGGTATCTTAACACTCAACAACACAGCCAATCTTGTTCTCACCCAAAATGGGTCTCTTGTTTGGCACACCAACTTTCAAAAACAAGCACAAAATCCAGTGGCAGTGCTCTTGGATAGTGGCAATCTTGTGATAAGAAATGAGGGACAAACAAACCCAGAAGATTATTTGTGGCAAAGCTTTGACTATCCATCTAATACACTTTTGTCAGGAATGAAATTGGGATGGGACTCCGAAATGGTCTGGAACGGAAAGTGACATCTTGGAAGAGTCCAGATGATCCATCCCCAGGTGATGTTCATTGGGTTGTAAAACTCTATAATAATCCTGAGACTTATCTGATGCAGGGAACAAAAAAGTTATTAAGATATGGACCTTGGAATGGAGTATACTA